GCGCAACCCGCCCTGTGCGGCTCTCGCTTCCCCCAGACCTCTTCTGAGGCCTGATGAGCAGCAGGCTGCACCCCAAGACAAAGTCTGCCGGTCTGGGCTCCCGCAGCAAGGATGGATCGCTGGGGAGCTTGAGGCTCGGGCCATGAAAAGCATCTTCCCTGCCGCGTGTCCTGACAGTTACAGCTGTACGGCCATACCAGCCTACGGCAGGGTGCTGTTTTGGGCTCGGGACCGCAGGAGGCTCTGGCTGCACCACTTGTCTGCAGGCAGGGAGGGTACCCACAGGCACTGACCATCACCGCTGGGTCTAAGGACTCTTGTGAACTCAGTAACCACCAGACTTTGCCGCAGCATCTTATTATTGAAAAGCTATGGCAGTCTTCCTTCAATAAGCTGAAACGGAGTGAAGCCCCAATACTTTTCACTGGCATGAAGTCAGAGAGAACAGGGCAATAACGAGAAAGGCTGAACGGCCAGAGGTTTCCTTGTGGAAATCGTATTATACGGAAAAGCCAACTGAGCTGAATGCAAGAGCAGAACACGCCAAAAAAGCTCACACCGGGATCTCCCTGAAGATCTCGCCACAAATGACACCGGGCCGTGCCCAGAGCATCGCTGCGGCGAGCGGGCAGCGGGCGCAGCGCTGGGGGACCACCGCCAGCCTCCCGGGGTGCCACCCCGGCACACCCCAAGCCACTCGCCCTGCAGCAACCCTCGAAAGCCCGATGCAGGTTAGAAAACAACATCTCTTTTATGAAAAGGGGGAGTGGGGGACTCACGCTGTAACTGATTCATTCAGCAATTTTAGTTAAGTGAATGTTGATACATGGAAGAAAAAGCATTAAAAAAAACAGAACCGATATTAGACTAGAAAATAAATGTAGGTATAACATCAACAACAACTGCTAAAATAATGTAACGTGAACACACTGCTGAAATTCGTTGGTTAAAAAACAAGAGCACTGAATATTTTCACAGTGTCTGAGCTTTTATGCACATCAGAGAAGTGGAAGCTCAGATTCTGCAGACTCAAGCCGGTCCCTGCGGGCTGAATTAAACCCGCGGGTGCTCCGGTGCCCTCGGGGGTGCAGGCTAAGGCCCGCTGCAGCCACGGCGCGGGCTGGAGGGGTCCCGGGCGGCAGCCGCGGCCGGGCAGACATCTGTCGCTCTCGCGTACCAACAGCTATTAACTAATTAACGTTTCCTCAAGGAGACAGAGGTGTATTCTGGGGAGCGTGAACCTTGCTGGCAATTTCTTTTAAAGCCTCTTCTCTTGGAAATGGATCCGCTTCTGCTTTGCCAGTGCGGCCGTCACCTGAACGTGCTGCGGGCGCCCGGGCCTCTGCAGGGGAGCGTTCAGCAGGGCCGGGCCATGCACGCTGCAAACACCAGCCCGTTTTCCTCCAAACTCATCGGCGTGCACAGGGGCTCCTGGGGCCGGCGCCGGTGTTTCCGTACCCCTCTCCTACTGACTCCACGTCCCCCTTCCCATGAGGTGGGGTTTCCACAGCATCACCCACCAAACCTTCTCATTGCAACCCAGCTCCCCCTGAAGTGACGGGACAGGGAGAAAGCTCCTATTTCCAGACATTTAGCACGTGCTTCCACACCAGATTTTCTAGAGTAAGAGCTGCGTTAGCCTTCATTGTATCTGTCAGCCTTTAGAAGGTGTAAGAATATTCACAGAAATAAAAAAATCACGCCAGCTACAGTGATGAAAAGCCTCGTGCTGCCCAGAGAAGGCTGTTCTCTACAGCGCTGATTTTCACCGGTCTTTTACATTTTCTCTTTCTCAAAACTTCCAAACAGAAACACAGTCCCCTCTCATCTGCCACACTTTTCTAAATTAACTGTCTAAAATAACATTAAAACAAAATGTAGAGATACCTTAACTGCTTGCAGCATGATGTTACATCAAACACTTTTCTTTTAGTGCTGTTATTTTTATCAAAAGCCTCCACGTACCAAGGGAGCACGAGGGAAGCGGAGTGACGACGGGTCAGCCTGCCCGCCGGATCCCGCAGGAACGGCCGGCAGATCCCAGAGCGGTTTGGCAAGAGAACGGTAAAATTACTTTCCAGGTACATGGAAACATCCAGAATGTCTGAAATACGACGTCCCGACCTGCTCGGCAGCTCTGATCGGCTTTTCACGGACAAACACAGGGTCAGAGGGGTGTGGGAAGTAACCGATAGAGCAACTAGTAGCATGCAATTGTATTATGCTTTAAGTAGGTAATTGCAGTGACAATTTGTTCTTCCCACCGGTAGCTCCGAGGTGTGGGGTTTCTTCAGCCCCGGGACGCCGTCTGAAGGATTGCACGGTCCTCGCACGACGTCTGCCAGGCGTCCCGGTCCAGGGCCGTCGCAGCTCGCGTCCCCGTGCTGCGCGCTGGCCCGCGGCTCCCCGGCAGGCTGGCTGGGCCAGCTCCGCCAGACAACGTGCAGAACGGTTACAGAGAGCAAAACACATCACGCGTGGGCACTCTTGCTACTAGTTTTTCTGAACTACTTGTGTAAAAAAAAAGCGCCAGCGGGATGAACAAACTCACATACATGACTTCACGCTCCGTACTGGAGCAGAGGCGAACAGGCCACGGCCCTGCTCGCTTCACCTGCCTCTGCATCCAGGCTTTCAGGCTCGAGATCCACTGGGGGCTTTCCGAGCAGCGAAGGCTGCCAAGGGCTGAAAGTGGCTCTAAGCACATGTGAACTGGTTTGCTCTTTGCTTTGATGCTTCCTGCTGAAAAAAACTGCTGAAACAGGTACACTAAAATAGTAAATCGAGAGCCCGCTGATTTACACAGCAGGTTTGTAGAGGTGGCCAACAGGACACCCACCAGCAGCCTAGGCGACAGCATGAAAACCCCAGCCCAATTAAATGCTTTGTTAATTAAACGTTAAGCATCTCTCGCGCGCGCAAAACCAATTCCTCTTCTGCGCCGCTGCCCGGCTGTGGAAGGAAAGCGGGTGGGGGTGGAGGGTCCCGGCCCCGGTCCCCACGGGGCTCCGCCGGGCGCCGCTGCTGTCGGTGCTCCAAGATAAGCGGCCTTTCAGCTCAACGTGTCCCGACTCCGGGCCACGACCTGTTTCTGACAAGGCTGGATCTGTCAGCCTTCCCCATCGTTTCACCTCATCAATCTCTGATGTTAAAGCCTATGGTTTATTTATTTCTTTAATTCACTGATAAAGCACGTTATCTACAATGATTAATTTTGCATCAAGGAAACAACACTACTACAAATGGTGGTCTAAGACAACCTAGTGGGACTTTCTACAGAGTTCCCGTCCTAAATCCATCTCTCTGTTAGCTGTGAAACATCATTCCTCAGTGCACTTGGCTTCTTCACGGAATTCTTCTACAATCAAGTCCGCGGCTCTGTCCCCACGTGGGGAATAAACAGCACTCCCGAGCTAAAGGAATAATTAATTTACCAGCTTTGAGCGGGGTTGGTTTAAACCTCAAAAATGAGGATTTGTTATTTCACTTAACTGCAATACAACAGGATTATCTCAGATCGCAAGATACTCATTCCCTCAGAGTCGTCGTGATTGATGAGAACACTGGGAAGCGGGATAGTATAATTAATGGGGAGCAATACAGGTCTATGGAAAAGAGAACTTGTCCAATTAACGGAATAATGAATTTCAGCTTGGTCGATAAACGTAATCATTTGGATGCAATATTCTTTGTCTTTCATAAACTATTTGACCTCACGCTAACATGACATTTTGATTAAGGAAAAAAACAACCCAGAATGATACAAAGCCAAGTTGTCACACATCAAACAGACAAAAACCTCGAAACTGATAGGTCCCACAGCGACTGCAAAGAGGGAAAGACGGAGACGATGCATTTCCCGCGGCGCTCCATAGGGACCAGTTCTCGGCCTTCTGCAATCTGGTATTTTGCCAGCAGCCTGAAGAAACTATAAAAATATCACTGGTAAAGTTAGGGAGTGACACAAGCTGGAGGAGCCGGCCGTGAGCTCTCCCCCAACGGGGAGTCCCAGGCTGCTGGGCTGGCCAGCCAACGGGATGCATTTGCATGTGGCTAAAATTGAATTCCACGTCTGGGCGCAAGCAGCGCCGGCCCCGCGTGCGCGGGAACTCGCTGACGGGGGAGGCGTGAGGGCGGGGGGACGCTCAGCTGAAGGCCGCTGCGGCCGAGGGTCTGCGCGAGGCCACAGGCATGGCTGGGAGCAGCGGGGCTGCGCACCATCGGAGCGGGCAGGCCCGCGAGGGACTCGGAGGCTGGAGGAGGAGCGGCACGGCGCCGGGCTCAAGGGGCTCAGCCAGCTCGGCAGAGGCCGGGGCAGGCGTCCCGGTGACACGTTACAAGAGCTGCGGGTAAGGGAGGGCTCCCTGACCCAGCCGATCAAGGTATCACAAGGACCCCAGAGTTAAGGCTTAAACTAAGCAGGTTTAGACTACAATGGGATTTTTTTTTACAGAGGGCAATTAGCTACTAGGAGGTTTTATCAGAGGTTGTAATGGGTTCTCCACTACTCGTTTATTAACTTTTATCGCGAGGATGGGATGCTTTTCTAATTGGCCGGCTCTGGTTCAAACAGGAATTAATTTAGGGCAATCCTGCAGCCGTGAAGATGGGAGTAACATGGTCACAAGGGTCCTTTCTGCAATCGTGTAATCTCTTGACATAACTTCACACCCCTCCGCTTGCCCTCTTTACTTGATAGCTGCTGTTTAAATGAATGTACATAACTGTACAGCAATAGGTCTTTGGATATTGCAGATGTGAATCGCGTGTGACCTCAGCGACCGTTTGGCGCACACGCGTCACACTTGCACGCCCGGGCGATCAGGAAAATGCCGGCAGCGGGGAGGTGGGAGGGCTGGGGTCGGCAAGGGAAGCTCCGAGGAGCAGGAGAGAGGAGCAGGAGGGCTCGGCTCCAGCATCCCCGCTGCAGCGGAGCGAGACCGAGCTGCCGTGCCGGGCTGTGCGAGGTCCAGGCGGCGGCTCTCCTGCCGCCCACCGCATCACTTGAAGACGGACGGAAACGTCGGGCAGTCGGGAGACTTCATCTTCTTCATGAACTTCTTGAATTCTTTGTTCTTCTTGTCCCACTTGTAGATGGCCGTCAGCAGGTACTGGGTCTTCACCTGGCGGCCCATGATGAGGAAGTAGTGGCCGAGGTTGTCCAGCTGATGGCAGGGGCAGTCAGCCCCGTTCTTCAGGAACAGGACCAGCTTCTTCAGGTTCTTCTTCCGGATGGGCCCCAGCTTCAGCGCCTTCCTCTTCCGCGGGACGATCACCTTGTCCCCGTTCTCCTTCTTCACTTCTTTTATGGTCATCTTAAGAGCTGAAAAACAAGCCGGAGAGAGGGGAAAAAACAAAACGACTCCTGAGCAGCCTTCGCTGGCACAAAGCCTTTGCTAAGCAAGGCTGGGGGCGAGGGGGCACGGGGGCCCCCGCCCCAGGACAGCGGCAGCGCCCTGCCCAGCCGCAGACGCCCAGCGACCCGCTCCGCACCGCTCCCACGTCCCCCTGCGCCCCTCTGACACCGCCCCGGCGACGGCTTGGCCCAGCGACCGCGACATGAAAACCCTGGCGCCCGAAGCAGAGCCATCCCCGTGCCTGGGAGAGCATCAAGGTAAAACACTGACATCTCTCTTGCCCTTCCTCCCAGCACAGCACGCCAGGCGCTTTTTATTTGCGAGGGAGCCTTGTTCAGCCCGCCATACGCTCTTTGCTAGCAAAACATTAGCTGAGTAAACAAGGTGATTTCCCTGCTCTAGGCGCATGGAGAGACTCTTGAAAGGGCCGCTTAAAAGGTCAGCTTGGCTTCTCAAGCATTCGTTTGCAGTCACTCCCGGCCCTCGGGTGCCTGTGAAACAAGTTTCCAAGCACTGAACATCTCCATGTTCAAGCAGCGAAGCGCCCTGGCAAACGGCCATGCCCACGGGACCGGCATGCAGGAGGCTGCGGCACGCCTGCACCTTCCCCAGGAGAAGGTAGGGGAGTTAATCCGATACAACTTCCACGGAAAATATTTTCCCCTTTGGGTTCAGCATTTTCCCCGAGTTAATCGCAACGCAAAAAAAAAAAAAAATTAATGTTCCTTTGCCACAACCATGAAGAGGAATTTAGTATACATGGGAAAAATGATGAAAATGTGTTGTACATTAAAGTATCACTTCTGTGCCATTTGGCTCTGCCTCATTTTTGGGGAAAAGCACATATGGCCAAAAATTACTAACATATTTCCATCATTTGGGAGTTTACTTCAGAGCTGCAGATAAATAGTGCTCGGATAGGTGATTAATTGTCTGCTGTCCCTTCTCATTTGACTCCCAGAGTGCGTGCAGCAGACGGCAGGCAGAAGCCTCTGGCTCTGGCAGGGAGATGGGTCCCCGCAGCATCGTTCCTTGAAATCCTGCTCTGCTGGAACTTGTAGCAACGAACGCAGGTTGCTTTCTGGACGGCAGCTCTGCCCACCGTTCCAGGCCCGAACGGCAGCAGGACAGCGCGATGACAATCCCAAGAAGGCAGCAGAGTCTCTGTATTACCCTCACGCTCCCAGCCACTGCGCTGGCAGCAGGAGTAATGGTATTTATCTGCCCGTGTGCCAAAAACGCCTGCTGTGTTTGCCAAGAGCCCTGTCATGTTATACTGTTACTGTACAAGAAAGTAATCCAGGACTGGAAACCTAAGTGAAATTTTCATTCCATCTGTTTTCCAAATTCAGGATGTTTAAGGAGCTAAAGAGACTCAAGCTTTAAGGAGCTAAAGACGCTGAACCAGATCAATTTGCAACAAATCTGGAAAATGAAGCAAGTAGTTTTCGGGCAGCTCTAAGCTCCATGACATTATTGGGCAGCAGCATCCCTCAACGTGAACCTCAATTGCTTTATCCGTTCTGACTTTGAACTCTTGCACTAAGCACGGTGGTTGCCAGTGCAGGAGGAATGGTATAATACCAGTAATAAGAGACTTTTTCAAAACGGCTTGTTTGCAAATTGCTTTCCTGTGATCGCTGCAAGTTCAGACCCTTGTTGCTAGAGGAAGAAAATAATCTGGCAGCTCGTGGAGGTGCTGTTCTACTCCAAGTATCACAGTCTATGGAAGACAAAAAGGGTCTGGTAATCCTGTGCCGTGGGAGCCCACGGCTGCTCCCTTCCCTGCATGGCAGCAGTTATCTGTTCGCAAGCCGGCGATGCAGGTTCGGGGAGCACGGGAGCTACCCAGGTGAGCCATAAATCCAGACGTGAGCTAAAAACTCATCCAAACCTCACTTGTGCAAAGCAGCGCACAGAGCCAAGGTCAGATAACGCCAAGGAGGACCGACGCGGAGGCTGAGCAGGGGTGCAAACAGTTCGGGTAGGACTCTGCTCCTCCCAGCAACGATGCCCTTCTTGTCATCAGCAGAGGGAGTTGGCAGTGCTGCCCAGGTGAAATGCAGCCTGGCTCAAGGACTACCAAGTTTCAGCTGCCTTGCTGTGGACTAAGCAGTCACACGAGCCAAAAAAAAAAACCCAAAAAAGGCATTATAATCACTGCTCGGTTTTTACCCCTCTGCCAGTGACCTGGCTCCCCAGCCCCCCCTTGCTCCCTGCTTGGGCCGCGTTCCTTACGCTCAGACCCGCTTTCCAGGCGAGACTCCCGGGCACAAAAGGCACGTTTCACACAGCGCTGGCATTTTCCACGCACATCAGAAAAGCGGTGCCTGAGGGCACGTTCCTTCCCGGCTGCACACCCAGCTCTGAGCACACACCACCACGCAGCAGGAGGCAGCCCCTGGGCTTGTGGCTTTCCCAAAACATAAAGGATTTGGCAGGGGGGACCATTGTGTGACTCGCCGCTGCTGCAGCTCGCCTGGCATCCCCCCGACCCCGGGAACACCTCCGCCCCAGAAGCGGGGGAAAGGCTTGAGCGGGACGGATTGAGTCTTGGCTCCAGGATCCAACCGAGCTGCCAAAGCAAACAGCTTCCTCCCTGGGAGCCCTGGCCTTTCCACTCCCCCTGTGCCACACCAAATCCGTCTCAGCGCCGAGCAGGAGAAAAGCCGAAATTGCCTCCGAGACCCCAGGATGCGCTTGCTCGCACAGACTAAATCGTCAGCTGTCGCTGCCAGGAGGGAGCTGACCCCAGGCAGGGGACCTGGAGGGTTTCTCATCGCGCGCAAGCGTGCGCAGCCCTCCCAGGCCAGCAGCTGCAGCCTGCCTGCACCATGGCCACAGGACTGCTCCTGCATCGGCTGCAGCATCCACCCACACCAGCCCGCATGCTGCAGCAGCTCTGCGTCGCTGCAGAGGAAGCACGCCAGCCACAAGCCCGTCTTCCCCTTTGCTCTCGTGTGATACACGCACGCTGCAGCACAACCTCTTATCAAACCTGTGCTCCCTCACTAAACTGCAATCACATCTCCTCACCTAACACACTCAACACCTTCCACTTTCACCCCAGCTCCTGTTCATGGAAGGGTCCAGCATGTTCCTGAAGATGCTGGCTGAGGCACTCACATTGAAAGGCCCTCACTCCCTCCACTGCGAGCACCCATAGACAGATGGCAGCCTCGGAGGCTGCAGAGAGACCATGAACTTCCCTGGAATGGGAGCACCGATGGGACCAGGAGCCGACTCTCGGCCACGCCGCGAGAGAGGTGATGGCAGAGGAGCCCCGCTCTCTGCCCTCCTGGCAGCGCTGGTGGCCGGCTGCAGCCAGGACCACCCATAAAACCAGGAAAGCCCTTTCCAGCCAGGCATTGTCTCAGCTCTGCTTGCGACACTGCCAGCGCTGCCAAGACGCAGTGCCAGATCCGGCGCAGCATGGTGCCAGGACCGCAGCCCCTGGACGCCAGGGCGGGAGGTGAGCAGCGTCCCCAGGGATGCTGCACACCCCTCTGGGACATCCATGCCCACAGGGATGGGGACAGGGACGACCCTCTCTGCCATGTGGGACTGGTCAAGCAGGAGGCGCTCCCCTCCGGCAGCAAGCGTGCCCCGGGGCCGTGCAGCTGATGGCGTTCAGGGCAGAGGGGGACTCCTGCACGGCACAGGGAGAGGTTTTACTTTCGTGCCATACGTGGTCCCAAAACATCCTCCCTGTGAGCACTGCCGGTACGTCTGCTCGCGGGCGAGTCGTGGCAGGAGACCTCTAGCGCAAGCCAGCGTCCGGCCGCCCACTTCAAAGGCTCTTCCCAGAAAACAGAGAAGTGAAAGTATTACTCAGGCTGGGAGGGAAAAAACCAAAACACAACAAAGGCAGATTTCAGGATTTAACTTGGGACTCAACAGCTCTCAGCCACGTTGTGTTTACAACAGCAGAAATCCTCCCGGGGCGCTAAACCCACACTTGCCCTTGCTCAGCCCCAGCGTCAATAAGCTGATGTCAGCCCGGGCACGAGCCACTCACCAGCGCTCTGCCACGGCCAAGAGAGCTGGTGCCGAAAGCCCAGCACAGGCACGGACCCTCTCACCAAATCCTGCCCGCTGCCACAGCGAGCTGCCAGCACGAGCATTAGACGTAGCTGCACTGCCCTTGCAAAAGGCTCCTGCAAAGAGCCTGCAAGCCAGCAGCTAGGACCAGCTTTCCCCCAGCATCCTTGCTCCTGACGCAACACCACGGCATCAACCAGCCCTTCCTTCTCCCAAGGTGTCAGCCAGCAGGACCATGCCACCAGCAACCATCGGAGTCGGGAAGAGAAGGCCAGCATGGGCAGCCTCATCCCCTCCCAGGTCCTCCTCTCCTGCGGCCCCAAGCCGCCTCACGCTTCCCTCTGGATTGCTCCAACTCCAGGATGCCCAGGGAGGGCACGCGAGAGGGACAGCAGTGGCTCTGGATGTGCAGCTGCCCCATCACCAGCCACAGCTCCCATTAGCAGAGGGTCAGACCCCAGCCCGGGATGGTGCAGCCCCGTTAGACCAAGCCACGAATTTGGCCCCAGCTATAAATGGCTCGTATCAGATGGTAGCAGAGCTCTGCTGTCTGTAATGCAGAGAGAGTAGGGAGTGCTGGAGATATTAAAATGTCATTTTTTATTTCTACTAATATGAAACGGGGTATATGAAAGTGTTTGCTCACTTGGAGTGAAATTACTCTTGGCAGCAGCAGCTCCAAGAGCAGCAAAGGCCCCGCAGAGCTGGTTGGGGTCCAGCCTGACAAAGCGCAACTCACGTTTCATCACCTGAAACAATTCTTATCGATGTCCCTACAGCTCCAGCTTCCCAGTCCCACCCCCAGCGTGGGGAAAGAGGAAACCCAGTCTCCCAGGCAAACTGGGAGCACCACATTAGTGCTGCCTGAGAGCAAAGCACCCTCCTGCCCCGACACCAGCACCAGGGCTCGGGCACGCTCTCCGAG